ATATATATATATATATATATATATATATATATATATATATATATATATATATATATATATATATATATATATATATATATATATATATATATATATATATATATATATATATATATATATATATATATATATATATATATATATATATATATATATATATATATATATATATATATATATATATATATATATATATATATATATATATATATATATATATATATATATATATATACTAATATTCTTAATATATTTATCTTACTAAACAAACATTTTTTAATGTCCAAAGTAAAATAAAAAAATTATCTGAATTTATATATATTTTACAAAATGTATGTGTTTTATTGTAATTTAGCATTTATCTTTATCATTATCATTAACATTTTGTTTGGTATGCTTTTATTACTCGAAGATATTTAAAATTTCCAACAAATCAAAATTTCCCCTTTCGATAACATTTTTACCGTCGAAAGAGAAATTTTCTGTATACTTCACACGAAAGCGTGTCTCGAATTGAGACACGCTATGAGTGGGGGCAAATGAATTGCATGGTAAAAGCAATGCGCGTGTAATATATTGCAGTGAGACGAAGCTCTCTAACAGTATAGTACCAAGACCCGACCTTTTACGAAGAAGACCTCCTCTCTCAATGATTTCTTTCAGTTTATCTTCTATATAATCTTTCGCATACAAGAAAAGACATCGCGCGAATAATCACACATACTTATTCAGTTTACGACGTGTATTTATTTTGTTTAGTCATCGGCAGTGTGATTCATTATGTATCTTTAACAAAAGAGAATGATAAAGTATATTTAATTTATGAAACTAAAAGGGTATTATTTTGCATTAGATAACAATCGAGGTTTCATAATACACATATTATAAATTGTTTAAATAAAGCTAAAAAATATAATTTCCTATTGCGAAAAATCTATACTCAACTTTGAAGAATGTCTAACTAAAAATAAAAAAATATTATTATAAAACTTTGCATATTACAATAATAATTTACAAGATTATTATTTGATACATTTGATTAGCTATTGAGATTACACACTGTATAACATTATTTTAATAATAAACTATTCGAAAAAAACAAATGGAAAGAAATGGAGAAAACTGTTAAATCACATGAGAAACATCATACAGTGATATTGCACATGGCGAAAACTTCTGCTTAAATATCTGCTTCGTATTTTTTTAATGCAAAAATCAAAACACACGATCATTTTCCTGATTCCAAATTGAGAAAATTTGCAACATTCATGCCGTGTGTACTGAATGGGACCGGGGCGATGGTAGCGGAGTGATAGTGAAAGAAGGACTTTCTTCACAACCATAAAGACCGGCTAGCTCTCGGTCGATCAGTTCGACTTCTTTGTGGAACTAAGGTGAAAGCGCGTAAGAGGCGACGATCATCTTCGAGGGACCCGAACATCATCCCGTCAGCTTCTTCACAAAATTCGCAGAAACAAAACGGACGGTACTGGAGAGCGAAATCATCGCCGAATGTTCGTACGTGTGCAATATAATGCATGTTTGCTGTGGAATCCGGAGAAACACGTGGTGTATGGTGCTACATCGATAAAAGGAAAAGTTCATTCATAATTTTGAATGACATTTGTGAGCGACAAATGGTAAAATGCTTTTGCACGTGTTTTGCCACAAGCTTTTGATCCTGATCTTGATCATGACTTTCTACGGATTACCAATCAAAGGTCAAGAACTCCGTCGAAATAGTGTAATAGCATCAGTGATCTCTACTGTGAGTACTAATTCGATAGAGATAAAATATTGTCAAAAAGCATGATTAGCTCGCGTAAAAAAAAAACTTTGTGTATGTGTTTGTGACACAGTTTTATGATAAAACTAGAATTATATGTGTGATGTGTGTGTTAAATAGTAATATAATCATACATATATCACTTTCTTTTGTCAGCAAATTTTTACAAAATTTAACTTTTCAGTAAAAAATTTTTCTTGTGTAAGTAGTATAATAATTAGTGGAACTTATCTGTGTATATATACATATATGAAAATATCACGTTGAAATCTTGTGTTAATTTAATATTTTCTTTAAAATAAAATAAGTATATACAATATATTTATTTTAACATTTGTGTATATAGAGAGACAAAAAAGAAAAGAAAAAAGAAAGTGTGTGTTTTAAATATTTATCAATTTTTAAATTATTTTATTATTATAAATACGTGCTTATAACGCAATTTTATTTAGCAATTAATTGTTTAACATACAGCACCATATTTTATACGTTTAATAAGATATAAAAATGTGGATTTTTTTTATTCATTTATTCTAGCGATTGCGATCAATTATGCAGCATTAAAGAATAACATATAAATATTACGTGCACGCAACACGCTTATGAGATATTTACTTAGTCAATACCGAAGACAATTTGACGGCTAGACCTTGACCCATAATTCTGATCATGGTTACTTTCTCTCATCTTTTATGTTGTATTTGCGGTGGAAAGTGAGCGCGCTTGACTAGCGTCAATGATTTGCATATTGCTTTCAGGAAAATTCTTCGAATAATTCGCAAACTCGCCACGGAAGATTTTTATTTGACGAATTATTTGGTATCGACATTGCCTCTGATATTGAAACCGATGAAGAAAAATTAAGAAACTGCACATGCGGTAAAGAATTTTCTTTATAAATTAAATTGATTTTTTTTTTGTATGACAAATAATATTGTTAATTGTTAATAAAAATATAACAATTATATACTCTCTACTTTTTACAGTTAAATTATAATCTTGCAAATAAAACTTATATATAATGCTTTTTTAATTAATTTTTACCGTAGAAATGATAATTGACCAATTTGTATATAAATTTAATATTTTATCTATCATCCTTTATACATAAATAAAGTTACATCCAAATTTAATAGCATATTTAATGATATCATTTTTAGAATGTGGCTTATCAAATCAAGAAAATCGGATTGTTGGTGGACGTCCTACGCTACCGTATAGATATCCCTGGATTGCAAGGCTGGTATATGACGGTCGTTTCCACTGCGGTGCTAGTCTACTTAACAACGATTATGTAATTACTGCTGCTCATTGCGTACGGAGGTATATACTCTTTATTCAAATATATATACAACAATAAATAAAGAAAATTGCTATAATTAACAATAAAATATTATATTGTAATAAAAATTAAAAATATCAAAAGTAACTAAAAGCAACATTATAAAAAGTTACACCATTTTTAATATAATATAATGTGAAACGTGCAACAAATGTTTTTATTAATATTTTGAGCATATTATGTCAAGATTAAATTAATTTTAACATCTTAGGTTGAAGCGATCGAAGATTCGCGTGATACTCGGCGATTATGACCAATACGTGAACACTGATGGAACTCCTATTATGAGAGCAGTGAGTGTTGTGATACGTCATAAGAATTTTGATATGAATTCCTATAATCATGACGTGGCCTTATTAAAATTACGCAAATCCGTGAAATTTTCAAAGAAAGTTCGACCGATTTGTTTACCTCAACCAGGTAGTATGGCTGTAAAGTAGTTAATTATGATCTTTCTTAACACATTAAATATTTTTGTATTTATTCTTAATATATTAACCATAATACGTAGGATACGATCCTGCTGGAAAAGAAGGAACAGTAGTGGGATGGGGTAGAACATCGGAAGGAGGAATGCTGCCTGGAAAAGTACAGGAGGTACAAGTACCTATATATAGTTTAACACAATGCCGGAAAATGAAATATCGAGCAAATCGAATTACCGAGAATATGATTTGCGCGGGCCGAGGTAACCAGGACTCTTGTCAAGGTGATAGTGGCGGTCCTCTTCTTGTTCAGGAAGTTGATAAGCTGGAAATAGCAGGTGAAACATATTTATATTTATTATGATAATAATTTTTAATTTTATAATAGCATATTAATTTATGATTAATATTGATTGTTTGAATACATGTTGCGTAAAAAATATTTTTCCTCTTCATATATTTATGTAACTAAACATAAAAAAATTCTAGAAATCACGTTACTGTCATAATATCTTTATTCATCTAAAACTTATGTGTGTTATACGTACATGATAGGTATAGTCTCTTGGGGTGTGGGCTGTGGTAGACCTGGTTATCCCGGAGTCTATACTCGAGTGTCACGATATCTCAATTGGATTCATGCAAACATGAAGGAAGGCTGTTTATGCGTCAATTGAAGACCTGCTTTACTCTTGCACCTTGTATATAAAATTTTAAAGCACATATTATATACGCGATCGTAGTCAATTACTGCAATGCGTACGTTTTACACGACGAATCACAAAGAATCGCTTAAAAACTCTGAGTTCAAAACTACTCAGTGGAGTATTTAATATACAGTTCCTTGCATGGAGGCCATCATTATTGTTATTAATTAGCAATTATTTATACGTGTCTGAACGAATAATATGAGAAATACGTTGTATCATTGTATGGAATATTTCCTATAATCTTCGTACGATTTATAGCGCAACTACGCTTAGCTCGCTCCACACGTTTCTATCACGCATTTCGTATGAATAGCGGTCGAACGTTTCCGGAATAATCAGCAACCGGTAACGGTTCACTGTCGAACTGGGCTAAAGTTGACGCATGCAAATGTAAAAGTATTCGCACACGCATCATGCAATTTTGTACATAATAGCATAATTTATGTTAGTCATATTTTTTTAATGTTACGTAATATATATAATATATGTGTATTATAACATATAATACAATAATAATATAAAAACTTGGAATATATTTGATTTAAAAATCTGTTATAATCTATTTAAATAGTCCAATATAAATTTTGAATAATAGTTTGCAAAACATTGCATGACATTTATAAATGGACAGCAAAATACACTTGCGATGATAATCAAGATTACATATATACATATGGGTAAAATCTTATAAGATACAGCTTATCGATATTATATTTTACATGTGTGACACATTAAAACTTATCATTTATGCTCAATCAGTTTATTTAATAAGTCAAATTTTATAGGAGATCAATAGTATAAAGTATAATATCAAAATATTGTTTTATTACTTTCTAAAACAATCATTTCTTAATTATTTTCAATCAGCAGTTTTAATATAATATTAATAATAAATAAAGAAAGCTGAAAATTGTGTAATATTATTTTAAAATGGATTCTTATATTCTTTATAGAAATATGAAATCGATGGCCAATAATAACGATGACGCAGTTGCAGAACCTGATCTTTCAACCGAAACTAGTTCTAAGAGATAGTACGACATCAGATACGATAGCAATCAAATAAATTTTATTATAAATTTTGGTCGAAAGTGGAAATACCGGGGTTTAACTTGTATACTAATAGAACCACTTCTTTACCCGAAACTTAAGAGGTATCGTTAATACAGTTGAAATACCTGTCGAACGGTACCGGATGACGCACAAAATGCGTATGTACATATATAATAAAATATAGATGAGCGTTCACATATCCTTTTCTGCAATCTCTTTTATCTGCATTACATATTCTTACTGGCACGTCAAAATAAACGCATTAATTAAAATTAATATAAAAATAATTTTTGTAAAAAATACTTTATACTTGGCGATGTCGTATACAATATATATCTTTACTTAACATATGATTATCTACCAAAGAATTAATGTTTATACTAGGAAGAAAAAAATAATTAATCAAACAATTAAATATAATCATTTATATAATAATCAATATAATCAATATAATCAATCAATATAATCATTTTAATATATCCACGTTTTTATAACACAAACTTTTTCAAGTAAATGTAAAAAATAAAGAGATAATATAAACTTATCTTATTAAAAATATTATATTTTACCGAATAAAAAAAAAAGCATAAAGACGTTACCTCTACTAATATTAAAATTCATCGAAACGTAGATCACATCTTTAAAACAGCTCCGAATATGATAATCGACGATGCCGTGGCCATGATGACGGTCAATAACAGTCATCCGTGATTCGACCCTGAACATGAACGTGAACTGGTCAGGTACCAGCCGACCGGCTGTGCCCGCCTTCCCTTCCGGAATAGCAATTACCTCTTCGACCTCAGTCCTCCACAGTCGGCGTAGGACGTCGATGATAGTCGCTCTCAGTCAGGGACATGTCCGTGACTCGTTCCTGACGGTGCCCAAGTGTGGCAACTTTTCCCCCAAAAATATCTCTACAAAGATCCAAGTCTTTAAAGTGAATTAAAAGTGTCGCATTATCGGTGCAATTATCAACTCATGAAGAGTTCAATTAGATCGCAGAACATGAAGTTTCTGCGCTATCCAGGTTTACTATTAATTCTGCTTTTGACGATGGAAAATTGCCAGGTAAGACAAATTCTTCTCGTGTAGATTATTTATTAATTTCTTCGCATGATATGCATCTTACTGCTACGTTCCCTTTGATAAAATATATTAAGACACTTCGAAAAAAATCTGCAATATTTAAATATTGAAATTTTGCGAAGAAATAGCGGTTTTAATTTCGATTTAAAGCCTTATCTGTAAAACGATTACAATGGAGACATTTTTAACAAAATGGAAATACTATAAAATAACTCTTAAACAGCTTTGATAAAGTCAACAGCTTTTATTGAAATAAAAAAATTGTATGGACGTGACAATTATAAATATGCATAATTCTTTTCCAAAGTTAAAAATAATATAATGTATTATTATAATTTTTTAATAAATTTTTAAAAAAGAATTATTTTTTTATTATTATTTAAATCTATCTATTACATATAAATAGAAACTCTTACATATTTTTATATCTACATATATCTAAGATTTATCTAAGACATAAATGAAATTATTGATTATATTCTCCAAATTATTTTAATAGTAACGTATATTGATCATTAAACATAATCACTTCGATTTTAGGCCGGGGTATTCAAAGATAAAATGAAAAACTTATTTGGACTTTTTGGTAATAAACCACCTCACTCTGATAATTCACCTGCTCCTTGCTACTGTAGTGAGTAACTTTAATTTGCTGTTAAATTTATTTTTATTAGCAATATAGCATTAAGAAACATATTATAGAGAGAATATATCATACAATCTAGGTTGTGGGCTACGAAATGAAGAAAGTCGTATAGTTGGTGGTCAAACAACGAGTATGAATGAGTTTCCATGGATAGCTAGATTATCGTATCTAAACAAGTTTTATTGCGGCGGGACATTAATAAATGATCGCTACGTCCTCACAGCCGCGCATTGCGTGAAGGGGTAGGTATGATTTATAAATTTTGCATATATTTAATGGAAATAAAAATAATATTAAAATCTAACTAATTTTTTAATTGCAACTACTGTATAATTTTTGCCATAAACGTCTTATATTAATGATTAATTATTTTTTGTATTCAAATATTTCTAAAAAAAATTCTAACAATATAAATTTTTATTAATAATATAATAAAAGTATAAAATTTAACTTTACTACTGGAATATAATATTACTTACAATAAGAGATATATGTTTATTTTATCTTTTTACACATACATAACAAACTATTGGAAGTTAGGTACGTGAACATTATTTTTATATATTAGTATAACTGTATAAAATTGCTACTAAATCATTGCTCATCTGCTAGATGCGTAAACAGGTCGAACTTCATATTTGCATCCTCAATTAGTGTCACGCTACAAGGAAAAGTTGTGCCGTTATCCTCAAGCGACATGCTAAACTATTCTACTTTTAACGATTACAATTTGCTCAAAATTTTTCTTATTCTCACATAAATTTATTTTGCGTAGTTAAATAATATAAAATTAAGTTTTATGATTTTCCTTGAGCAATTTCCTTAATTTTATTAAACGAGTCTCTCCTTCGCGATCTTATTTGCCAGGCGAATGTGATCAGTTCTTCTAGTCTTATTTTCAGATTCATGTGGTTCATGATCAAGGTTACTTTTGGAGAACATGACAGATGTATCGAAAAGCCAACGGAAACCAGATACGTGGTACGTGTTATGACCGGTGATTTTAGTTTTCTGAATTTCGACAATGATATCGCACTACTTCGTCTCAATGAAAGAGTGCCGTTGAGTGATACGATACGACCGATATGCCTGCCGTCATTGTTGGGTAAGCACAACATTTCTAATATAAATGTAAATATAAATATAAATATAAATATAAATATACACACATATAAACGCGATAAAATAACGAGATTATATCTTATGAAGATATTGCTATAAATTTCGAAATTAATACATTAAAAAAATTAAATAACCATCATTATTATAAACATTATCCGATCTTAACTCGATATATATTGAATAATTTCTATGTTTTTTCTAACTTTATCACGACAAAGTTTTCGCTGAAGACATGTATCTATATATAAGAGCCATAGTCTTATATGTCGAATGCGTTATCGATATCTACCTTCGACATATACTCATAATTTCATGCTCGATCGATATTAAATTAGCGTATCCGCAATTGTTAATTTTAACGAATACGGTTTTTCATAATCGAGCGTAATATTGAACAATAATATGCGCGCTCTACGACTAACCGTCATGTTTATTATACAACGATTACGATAGCCGAGTCATAAATCAGTTAGTATACGGGTACCTACTCTCTCAACTGTAATGCATCATCGTAGCATACACATAACTGCGTAATAATAAAGATTTCTGTCTGAAATCGAGGCCTTAAATTTGCATTTTAAATGCACGCAATAATACTTCTTCAATTTGTTAACATGCAATGACATGGTACATTTATAAGCGCACTAATTTACTGCAAACATATTCGCACCGATAATATATATAAACTATATAATAGATTCATATATTCAAAAACTCTCAATTTTTTCTTTAAATAATTTTCATATAATTCGTATTTTATATTTTTAATAAAAAATAATTATACA